CTCCAACGCTTGTTTCAATTTCAAATTTGTCTCCCCATCAAGGTTCATCGTCTCGACATAGCAGATTGAATCCTCGTAACTTTGATGAAAGCAAAAGAAGATCCGCCGGGAAAACTCGTCCTTCTCCACCTTCACTAAGTCTCCTACTCTCAGATTCTTCCATTCTGTATGCTCAAATGTTCCATCACCGCAATGCACTTGTACCTTTCTATTATTCATCTCAATATCCTGAAAAACATTTCACATGCTAAATTATTGCCCTGACGCAATTCACGTTTAAAAAAAAAGGAATCTATATGTTCCAAAAGTTGTCTAAGAAAACAAAATCCCAGTACAACATCCGTGCAGACAATAAATTATGCACAATTATCTCACTTGATATGAAAAAAATTGAGAGAAAAAGAAAAGTAAGTAAAAAGGAAAATCCAACTGGTTTGAGCTATCACACTTCCTGGATATTAACTATGGAATATGGATTGCCCTAAAGTTTTCATCAGCATACTCGAATCGTTTTCAAGTCCTAATCAGAACAAACTTTTCTGAAGAAATTTCCCAGACTGTTCACAAGTGAACAACACTGAAAAAACCACCTCCAGAAGAAATTAAAAGAAAATCGACAATCTGGTTTAAAGCCTACGAGTGGTGTAAATCAAAACCAAGATTGAAAACACGAAAGCACACGGAAATAAAAGCTTACCTGCTGTTTTCGGCGCCAATCCTCAGTTCCTTCCTTCACCATGGTGGCCCCAATCACAATAATCAGAGGCAAAATAGCACTGACTGCACTATAAGAGCAAGTGGGGTGAAGGACAATATACCAGTGACAAGGAAGAAAAAATTAGCAACTCTCCTGAACTGCTCGAACAAGGACTTGGGCAAAAAGTTGCCGCTGTATACTTTGTGCTCCTCACATAGTTGTCTGCATAGTTTTGAATCAGAACGTCAAAGTTATCCGGTTCATTGCAATAAACCACCCTTGAAAAACCAGGCCCTCCGATGTGTGAATGGTCGTCCTTAACTGAAGCTCTTCCACATCTGAATGAATAGATCTTGCTCAACTGTAGCTTCTTTCTTCTACCAGTCCCTCTTCATTTCTCTCTTTGAAACTAGTGTACAATTTCCTCCAGATTAGAATAAATTCCCTTAATCTGCTAACCAGTACAAAAATTTGCAAGTATCCAGAACCACAAACCCCCAGAAATGCAACTTTTACAACCCACCCAGAAAGAAAACAAATTATAATTTCAGAGACCAGAATCCCGGAAACCCACTATATTAAAAAATATAGAACAGAAACCCAGAAAACTGAGTTGATAGCACAAATAATTGGAGGGAAAACTTCCACAAATAGAGCTTTTGAGAGTCACAGACAGAAAGAGATATATAGGTAGAGCAGGCGACACTAAAGAGATGAAAGCCGGCAATTGCCAAAAAGGTCGAGGCGATAATTACAATCTATTGCAGAAACCCAGCTAGAAAAATTTTTATATCTCCATACAAAAAATGCCGGCTCGGTCGGGGAAATAAAATAAGAACTTAGAAACAAAGAAGAAATTGCTATTCACGAGACACAGGTCACAAAGAGAATAAGGAAAAATGAACAGAAAATTTGTATATATACACACACATTTAAGGCCTATTACAGATTGTGAGTATTTGATATTTCTCGCGGCCTGAGTGTTTTGAACGAAGACTCAGGACTCTTCTCTCCATCTCTGCGTACGCGTCTCTCTCTCTCTCTCTCTCTCTCTCTCCTCCTCTCATCTTTGACTTTCAATCGTTGACGAGAAATGTTCTATATTTAACCACTACGTAACACGAAAACGGATCCTGACATAAAATAATCAGCAATGATAGCAAGGTTGAAAACAGAATTTTGAATTTTCCGGAAAACAAAAAAACAAGTTTACAGGAAAAGACAAAAAAGATACGTAGATGGGTGTGTTTATACAGCAACTGCATTCAAACTAAAAGAAAGTTCAGAAATTTTGAGGGAAAGCTTCAATAGCGCGTTGTATTCTGATTGGAATTCTATTCCCCGTAGAATAGGTAAGAATTAAATTCCCTGTTCCTTACAGGATTTTACGTGTATTTAATTCAAATACAATTAAATACACGTAAAATCCAAAAAAATCACAAATACGATGCAAACGTTGTTTCCCGTTGCCGCATGCGTGGTTTGGATAATGAATAAGGGAGGGAGGGAGTTGGAAAGGCACTTGAAAAGTAATTAGAAAATGGGATGAGAAAATTCCCATTAAAGGAGAAGCAGAATTCGGTTTTAATTATCGATGATAAAGTAATTAAGGAAAGTAATTGAAGCAGAGCGTCGTCAAATTGTCTGTAAAAAATAAAAATAAAAAAAAGAAAAGTTGTTTACTCAAGTGCTAATTAATTAAGGGTAAAAAGATTCTGCAGAAGAAAAAAAGGGGTTAGAGAGTTGCCTCACCACCTGGCAGAAGAGGGCGGACAACGTGCAAACGACGGGTCAAAGGTTAAAAAATTTGGCATCCCCACCCGAGTGACTACGTACCCACACAGCCTCACCACAATAAGTACGCAAACCAATAAACATTATAATAATAATAATAATTGTTTTAAATGCAATAGGGATTAAAAGTATTTTAAATAAGAGTTTCAATTTAGTTATTCTAGAAAACGAGTGTGTTGAATGATACAAACTTAAATTTCAATTAGTCTAAATGTAATTATGCGTGATAAGATTATGAGTAATTAAATACCAAATCTAATTGTTTGTGATTATTAATTATCTCTTGATAATTAATTAATGCCTCTCTTTTCTTATTCAATTCCGTGGTAACATATGTGTTCAAATGGGGTGTTTCTGATTTTAAGTGTGAACTTAAAGCTTACTTAAAGGCTAAAGTAATACCTATTTTGTTAATAATAATAATAAGCATAAAAAATATTTTATTCTCTAAATGTACTTAAATGATATTTAATCTCATTCTTATCATAAAAAAATATTTTTTTCTTTTTACTAACCATTGACTAACAGTTTTTTAACAATTTTTTTTAAAAAAATGGGAGTAATCCAAATTCACGTATTTTGGTTATCTATTTAATTAAAATTAAAATATTATTTGATTAACTTAAAAATATTTTTCAAAATTATATATTTTAATTTTAAAAAATAATTAAAAAATCTAACTTTTAAAAAATTTAAATTTATCATTTTATAATTTTTTTAATTTATTTTTAGTTTTATTTAAATATTAAAATAAAAATAATTTAGTGTCATTTAAGTTAAAGAAAGGCTAAATATAATTTAAAAATATAAAATAAAAATTATTTAAAAATTAAATAATTAAATTTTTTTATTTTTTAAATTAAAATAATTTTTAAGTGAATCAAATAATATTTTAATTTTTAACTAGATGGATAACTAAAATATGCAAAATTATATTACCTTCATATCTTTTTTAATAAAATTATCAAATAACCGTTAGTCAACATTTGGTCAAATTAGAGAGAGTGTTTTTTTATTATGAAAATAGTGTTATGTATTATTTAAGTAAATCTAAAAAGAATATGTATTTTTTACTCTAAAAATAATAATAATAAAATAATAATATACCCAAATAAGCAGGCATTAAAAGGAATGGTTTGAAGCCAGTGGTAAAAAAAAAAAAAAAAAAAAAATAAATATGGTTGGTTATTATTCCCCCGCGCTCACACAAATGAAGGTATTTATTTAAATTTCATTTCCTTACAAATCAAATTTGATGAAGGATGAGACATCATATACTTAAAGGTAAAAAATGAAATAAAGTAAATTTTTGTTTTAGATTTTCACATGTCCAGTCATTAAAATTAAAAATTTTAAATAGAAATTTATTTAATTAATTATCTCAGATTGGTAACAAACCAGATAAAGTAAATTTTGATATTACATATTATATTTATTTATTTCTTTATTTATTACAAATTTCCAAATTATAACTAAAACATTATCATTTTCATGAGGGATGGGGAAGAGAAAAGTCTAATTTTGCTTTTTGTATCTATTAATAAAGACATGTTTTAGAAATCCAGTCACGCGGCGCTGCTTCTTGAAAGACCTGATAAGTTCACACCAGAACGCGGCTAGAAAGACCAAATAGGACTCGTGTTCGTTACGCCATACGTGCGGTGTATCTTAACGGTGCCGTCTGATTAACTTCGGATGACCCGTCGTGTAAGTTGGACGAATAATTGACGTCCGTTACAAATTATAATCCTTGTTAGAAAATATTCAACACGAACGTAATATAACTTACTAATTAGAATTCACGAGATTATGCTATTATATTCCTACGTTTTTTGGGAATAAATTATTATTATTTTACAAACTGTGGCTAATTGGTCATTAGTTTATTATATTAAAAACTTGTTTTCTCGCTCTCTATTTCCCTGTTTAATTTTTATAGAATTTCTTTTTTGTCATAACAAGAAGTTGAGATCAAAGAGTAAATGATATGTTCTATAAATTTAACCCGTAAGAAGAGTTTAAACTTTGGCATTTTCATTATCTTATTATATATCAACTTTTTCAAAACATACCACAAAAATTGAAGACTTGGTTCTTGTCATTTCTAAAAAGGCAGCTACGTCATGAGTTCAATCTTTTGTTTTTTTTGGAACGGACGAGTGAAAAAGAAATATTTTCTTTTTAATTATTTTTTTTCTTTTTATGTAATATGAAGGACTTTTAAGTTTAAACTATTATTTATTTATGTTGAGATTAAATGCTCATGAATGAAGACATAAAAAATGAAAAAATGAGGGGGCATGGACTTGCTGAATAGCCAATACATGTTACTAAGACCACGCTAAATAGGTTGGTGTTATGACCTAAGATCTTAATAATTAACAGATTAGTAATTAATCAAGTAAAAAGGAGGGCTAATTGAATGAATTTAAAAGATTGGGGATGAATCAGGTTTAGGAGGGACTAAATCGAAAGAAAAACAGGTAATGAGGGTTTGATTTGAAAAAAAAAAAAAAAGAGAAAAATCTCTGCAATTTCGGCCATCGACTGATTAACTTGACATATGCGAAGATTTCAAGTCGTTGCTTCAAATTTTCACATCCTATAGGCCTATTTAGCCGGGCGAACACAAAACCCCCAGTTAATTTCTACAATCGAGTGAGGGCGAAGGAAAATTTGGGGTTTGAGAAGTCGGCGTCCGTCCGTGTTCATGGGAGGTGTTTTCTGAATTCTGGCCTATTAATGGAAGATTTGTTCGATCCTAAAGCTTCGTGGGGCTCGCCTCGCTGAGCTTCTGTTTTCTGGGCGTCGCTAGATCGAGGTAAGTTGTTTTTGAGCTTTGGGTTGTTTTTCCTATTGGTGGGTGGTGTTACAAGCAACGGGGTCTGAGACCTGGGTTGCCAGGTGAGGAAGACAGGACTCAAAAGGGTCTGGGTCCATCTTGGCTGGGGCGGGCCAGTTTGGGCCGGCTCGGCCTGGCTGAGGGGAGGTGACCCGCGATCTAGGCCATGGCTGGCCCAGACCCAATAGACCCAGAAGACCAGGCCGAGTTGACTCAATGAGTCAACTCGGCCCTGAGTTTAAAGAGGGTGATTCAACTCATCTAGGTTGACTCAAGGAGTGTTGGTTATACTATACCCAAGGATAGGACTAGCAAGGATAGGGGTTAGTTGAGGATAGCAGGGAATTAAATAATAAATGTTAAGGTTTCTGGGTAGGAGAACTGGCCAAGGTTGTCCGAAGGTTTG